GCGAAATTGTCGGCAATTATTATAAACCCCGATATCTTGGAGTCGAAGGCAAACCGCTTCTCCAGAGTACTCATGGATGCGATGAAATAAGTTGCGGTAAAGTTCTGTATTATACCGATCACTGCGAAATTGATGATAAAATAGGTGGGGCTCACGAACACCTGTAGCCATTTGGGTCGCCACGAGCCCATACCACACGTGTTGAGGTATGGGTCATCATCGTCAGCATTGTCCGACCTTTCCCTTTGATTATTAGTATTAAAATTTAATTTATTACTATATATTTCATTACTATTTACACGTTTATGATGTTTAGTCATAATCAATAATATTTTATTGTATATAAAATAATTTTAATGATTTATTAATTTAGATAAGAAATTAAGAATGTTTTTTCATTTAATTGTATTGATAGTTAATAAATGAATTATGGTTTGATTATAAATTTCATTTTTAAAAAATAATTTTTGAAATCATATGGAAAATAAATAATAGATAAAGTGACCGATTAAATAGATTATGCCTAAATCATATAAACATAAGTTATTTCATAACTACACCAGTGATTGTAATGTTATAATTATCATTAATAATATCATTTATTTATTAGTTATACCAAATTGCAATTTGCAACTCACCATCACTAACCCCACATTTCAAGGTTTACAATTGCTATCAATTCAGATATACATACAAATGGGTCTGTGTTTTCATAGATAACTTTATTAAAATCAATTGATTATTATACACAATTTGTCAATTTTTATAAATTCTTGTTATTTTCATTTCACTCAGATTATGAAATATTACAGTTATATTCATAACGAATTATGGGATGTCCTTGTTACACTATTTATGCTTTCTGAATTACCGGTATACACTGAATAAATATTTAACTAAAATCTGTCAAATGTGTGAATTTTTGTAATTATGTTGTAAGTATTTATTAAATTAATTCAATTTTAGTTTATACAAATTATTTTTTATTACAAAAAATTAAACATTTTATGCATAAATAATTCATTAAAATTTTCAACTAAAAACTTTCCACTACCACACTATCATCACTATCAATAGCACCGGTAGTTACAGTTGTAGTCATAATTATATTATTTTCTTTACTAGTATTTGTGGGTTCATTACTATCATCAGCGACGGGGTCGTCATAAAAGTCTTTAATATATTTGGTCAGAAAAATCTTCCCGAAGTCTATGAGTGAGCCAACAGTCATAAACGCAACGGCAGTCCCGTGAAACCGATACCTAAACTTGTCCTGATCATATATCCAACAGTTACCCCTCTTACCACACTTACTCTCCCACACTAAACACGCCGAGTCTGTGATTGCACCGAATATTATCGGATACGGAATGAAACCTATTATAAAATGTGTTTAAAATTATTTATGATTAAAATAAGTATGATACAATTATTATTACTAAAAATGTGTATAATGTACCAAAAAGGGCCATAAATGAGAGGGTGATGCCGTACGCAAGGCTCTTATCATCCTCATCGACACTCCTGAGTATGAATTATCAGTAATAATACAAGAATTTAAATTAAAAGTATTTATATAATAAAAATTAATACAGAAGTTACTCACCTAATAGTGAATAACATACTACCCGTCCATGCGGTGGACGATATTATTTGTCCAATGGTTAGCGCAATTAGGTATGGGTATAGTTTATGGTCGCAGTTATTAACATCCTTTTTGCAGTAACCAGTTGTAGGCATTCCTTCTAACTGTCTAATACATGAACACTCCGATAATGTCTAGAGTTTTAAAGATTTAGTAAAATAAAAAATTTAAATTAAATTTGAATTAATAAATAAAAATTTTACAATTAAAGGACTAAACTATTAAATAAAACTTTACAATTAAATGTTACAAAATTAGTTTTTAATTGTAACTAAATTTTAAATTATTAAATAAATTATAAACTGTAAATAAAACTTTACTAGGAATATATGCTTATTAAATAATGTTTGAATCTAATCTTACTGGAACATGGTTTGGCGTTTTTTTCACCAAGATATTTTAATCATTTAAGACTTACTACTATATTGACTACTATATTACTGTATTTACTATATATTATATTTGTATAAATACAAATTAATATTGACTATTGACAAGGTCAATTTGACATACATTGTTATTTTTGTCCATTTGATGACATCCAGCAAAACATGGTGAGAAATATGTGGTGGACTGGTCTGCCGAGCATACCGGTGTGAATACACTGGTAGTACAATCACAACCCTGATTACAGTTCTTAGTCATTGAACTAAATAAACGTACAAGATAATAATTAAATTATTCTTGTAAATTAAAAAATATTTAAAATACACACCCATTTTGCAAAAGTATAGGTCCCATGTGTAGGGACGGGCACGACATAAACATAGCGGTGAACACACCTGCGGCCGAGAATATTCCCACCAAAAATATAAAGGTGACCAGGGTGCGGGGTCGCGGTTTAAACCTGCTAATCATCGCCCCGCCTAACAAACACCCTATAGCCATCGGAAATATAGATGAGGTTCCCGTCAATAGGCTGGCACTGGAACTGGACACTCGGAAATGGGACTCAACGTACTTGGCCTTGAACATAAAGAACCCGGATGTTCCCATATATCGTAGTGTATCGCCCAACATATGTAACATTAGGAATGGGTTACTGACCATACGTTTGAGGGCAGCTAACTTTCCTAACAATATAGACTTATTAATAAATTTATGGTTTATAGGTATAATGGGTTTATTAATTGGTCCTAGTTACCTTTCATATTCTGTTTAGGTTTTTGTGTGGTTTGTTTTGAATTACCCATGTTTTCAATTGTCTTCTTGAGTTCTTTAGGGAATAAAAACATCGGAAGTGTTGCAATGGTTAGCGTTGTACCCGTTATTAAAAATCCAATCCACCATGCTCCCACATAACGAGGGTCAGTGGGCTCTATACCTGGATCATCTATTGTAGAAAAATGTACAATTTTTACAAACACTTTTCTAGTAAATTAATACAGATATTTATGAATTTCTAATTCAATTATTAACACAAACGAGCAGGGTAATACATACAAAAGGGATTTTCATAGTAACTCAAACATAGGGAGGACAGTAGGTATCCCAGGGCTGGTCCTATAAGTCTGACGGCCGAAAGGAAACTCATATAAAGTGGTGAACTATTTTGGACACCCAGGGAGGCCCTATAGACTGGATGAATAGGCGTGTGTTAGGCGCGTGCAGTGAGTCGGTCGGCCACGAGCTAAGTCGTGCTATTTGTGAGCATTTAGACTACGAAAGGGATTAGACTTTAGACTTGTTAACTTGAACTGTTAACTTGAACTTGTTAACTTGAACTGTTAATTAGATTATCAATTGATAATTAAGTGTAAACATTGTGTTAAGCGCATGTCAATAGATAATAGGGGTTCATATATTTATACATCTTAAATAAGATATGTAATAAATGTTTTTATTAATGGAAAATTTTTATTACTAAAAAATATTGTATAATACTTTTAAGTGAATTTAAATTATACTGAAAATTGTAAGTATTTCATGTGATAATAGATTTTAATATTTTTAAATAAATTTGTTTTCAATTTATTTATTAAAAATAACGGAACGGTAGTCACAAACCATGGACAGAGATGAGTTGTTTCTATGCGAGAAATTAGCCATTCGGGTGGCCATAGAGGCCGGTGCTATGATTAAGACGGCGTCGGGGCGTCATAAAGAAGTGACACAAAAGGATTCAATCGTCGATTTGGTGACCGAAACCGATAAATCAGTCGAAAGCTATATATTCAATGAATTTCGGCGACATTTCCCTAAACACCGGTTCATCGGCGAAGAGTCGAGGGGTAAGGATGAGAGGGGACTGACACCGGAGCCCACGTGGATCATAGACCCCATCGACGGCACCATGAATTTTATACACAACTTTCCCTATACCTGTGTGTCCATTGGCTTGACAGTGAACAGGGAGCCAGTGATAGGTGTTGTCTATAACCCATTCCTCGACAAACTCTATACCGCACGCAAAGGGATGGGCGCTAAGTGTAACGGCGCGCCCATACATGTGCGACAAAACTGCCAGTCCCTGAGCGATGCGCTAATGATTGGCGACCCCAACCCGGCCAAGAGGGACAGGGATCACCAGAGGGCAGCCCTACAAAACTTGGAGGCTATTGTTAAGAGCTGCAAAAGTGTCAGATGTATGGGAACGGCGGCTCTACAGCTCTGTTATGTGGCTGAGGGCTGTTGCGATGGCAACTGGGGGTACGGTATACATGTGTGGGATATCGTGGCCGCAGGACTTATAGTGCAAGAGGCCGGGGGTGTAGTGTTGGACCCCGAGGGAGGACCCATAGACTGGATGAATAGACGTTATTTGGTGGCCTGTTCTCAGGTGATTGGCCAACAGATTAGTCAAACACTTCGCGTGCATTTGGATTTTGGAAAGGATTAGACTTTTGAATAAAATTGTAAACTAATTAGGGATGATTCACATATTACGTTCGCACTTTTTGGGAAATCTTAACCCCCTCCCACTGCCAAAAACAACTGATGCTGCACTTTAATATGGGGCCAATCAAGTAGTACGTCCAGTACGTAACGATCAGTGATCAGGACAATCAGAAAA